TTGGTATCTGAGATATATTCCCTTGTATACGTGGGTATCCCTTGTATACGTTAGTATCTGAGATATAATCCCTTGTATACGTTAGTATCTGAGATATATTCCCTTGTATACGTGGGTATCTGAAATATAATCCCTTGTATACGTGGGTATCTGAAATATATTCCCTTGTATACGTTAGTATCTGAGATATAATCCCTTGTATACGTGGGTATCTGAAATATAATCCCTTGTATACGTTAGTATCTGAGATATAATCCCTTGTATACGTGGGTATCTGAAATATATTCCCTTGTATACGTGGGTATCTGAACTATATTCCCTTGTATACGTGGGTATCTGAGATATATTCCCATGTATACGTGGGTATCTGAATTATATTCCCTTCTATACGTGGGTATCTGAAATATATTCCCTTGTATACGTGGGTATCTGAGATATATTCCCTTGTATACGTGGGTATCTGAATTATATTCCCTTGTATACGTGGGTATCTGAAATATATTCCCTTGTATACGTGGGTATCCCTTGTATACGTGGGTATCTGAAATACATTCCCTTGTATATGTGGGTATCTGAAATATATTCCCTTGTATACGTTAGTATCTGAGATATAATCCCTTGTATACGTTGGTATCTGAGATATAATCCCTTGTATACGTTAGTATCTGAGATATAATCCCTTGTATACGTTGGTATCTGAGATATAATCCCTTGTATACGTTAGTATCTGAGATATAATCCCTTGTATACGTTGGTATCTGAGATATAATCCCTTGTATACGTTAGTATCTGAGATATAATCCCTTGTATACGTTGGTATCTGAGATATAATCCCTTGTATACGTTAGTATCTGAGATATAATCCCTTGTATACGTTGGTATCTGAGATATAATCCCTTGTATACGTTAGTATCTGAGATATAATCCCTTGTATACGTTGGTATCTGAGATATAATCCCTTGTATACGTTGGTATCTGAGATATATTCCCTTGTATACGTGGGTATCCCTGGTATACGCGGGTATCTGAAATATGACTACCTTCCTGTCTACTTGCGCGTTGTGGTTCATTAATATATATTTCAGTTATTTGTTTTCATAAAAGACCTCAATTTTACAGAACTTTCCAGAAATGAATTGAAGAATAGCTGGCAGTTAATGTATACATTAACATATTTGTGTAGTGATTACTGTTTTAATGATGTTCGCTTGCATTAAATATTTCACACATATTTCCTGGACATTTGTATTAAACGATACGGCATCATTTCTTTGAAAATCAACCAAGTTTAACACTAAACAGTATTCCAGTATACTAGGTAACAAGGAAATAATTTTAAGGGAGGTTTCGCTTCCTAAATGTAACAGTTAACTCATTCACCTCTGGATTTCATAATGAACTATTCCAACCATTAAATTGGAAGAGTTCAAATGTGTATTCAAGGGTGAATGAGTTAATGTTCACTGAATTGGAGCCACTCAAGGGACAATTTACCATGGGAAAGTTAGTGAGGGATCATGAGACCAGTCTTCGAGGTTTCTAAAATACTTTATGGAATGTTCCAACTGGGAAATAAGGGGGATACGTGGCTGTCGCTAAACAACAGTTTACAGGCTTCGAAGATTTTCGAGTCCAGAATGCCCCTCTAGATCTGGGTTTATCTAAAATAGTGTCGTGTGTAGTAGCAAATTGATTACAGTAGGGAGAGAAAAAAACTTGTAAAAAATGCAATTTCAGTTAGAAAATGTAACGGCAAAATTATATGAAAATAGGTCACCTTCCCACCTACACAGTCTGTAAAACCGCGAAACTCCCTAAGGGCTGACCCTGTCCCTAGACGGTGTGAGTGCGGCTTTAAATATTTAAAACACACCAGCTGGGAGCCTGTGTATACATGGACACGGTTCACTGAGTTCGCGCCTAAACAAAGACCTGAAACTCCTTTGTGCTTGGGCTAAAATTTCGGGGCAGATGTTCCCCTTCTATAGAACCTCGTATCAAAAGTTAGACCATATGTATACTGTTGTGTTGTCCTGATCTAAAAGTTTAATTTTTCCAAAAAAATATTTAGGATGTCACATATGGCCTACATGTGTTGCACTGGAACAGTTTGTCTATGCAGTTTTGATAATGTCTCCGAAAGCATGTTTCATATAGTCGAAAGCATGTTTCATATAATGATTTGATATTTCAGTATATCAGACAATGAAAATACCACAAAGCACTGTGTATATAGAAAAATCTGTTTCATATCTAAAATAACCAGATTGCATTTATGTTGATAATAATCATTTTATTGGCCGATAATTTGCATAGTTTTGACATTAAAGGTGTAACGGCTGTCCATTTGCATACACAACTGATGTCGACAACTGTTAAAACTATAACTGTATACCACTCCATACTTTCCAAACACATACGTTATAGAACAAATATAAATTATTACAGGAAATATTAACTGATGTCGACAACTGTTTAAACTTTAACTGTATACCACTCCACATTTTTCAAAAACATACGTTATAGAACAAATAGAAATTATTACAGGAAATATTAACTGATGTCGACAACTGTTTAAACTATAACTGTATACCACTACAAACTTTTCAAAAACATACGTTATAGAACAAATAGAAATTATTACAGGAAATAACTATAACTGTATAGAAAAACAAATATAACTTTTTACAAAAACTGGAAAATGCTACATATTGAGTTCATAGTATGTGAAAATGGTCTTATATTAACACCATGGAAAGTAGCTTAAACCCTTACAAAATAGATATTATGTTCAAAGTGTGTTGCTATAGAGGATGAAGCGAAATCTCCTCAAATTTATGAGAAATGAACACCTAGATATAAATAACTACAATGCTCGAAAATAAATCTTAAACATTTTGTATCAGATGATATGCAACTGATTTCCGGATTGTGCCTGATTATCAACGAGTGCAAAGAAGTAGGCCAATGGGCTTCATCTGTTCACGTGGGGGTATGGTTTTAAATCCCAACAGTATTTTCTTTGTAAGATACGCGTAATCCCATTTTCGTTCAAGTCAGTATATACTGTGAAATCACTCATTTTCGTGAGATTTGTTTTAATTTCGTTGATTTTGTGGATAAGTTTGAGTGGGTACTCGTAATCCACGAAATGTGGACCCACGAAAATATCTGATTTCACAGAACCTAATGCAAGTAGTAAACTGAATAAAATGTATGTATGTATGAGGATGCACAGAGGTTGTTCATCAAATGACAAATCGCCACTGTAACTTTGCACCCCTTTTAAGAGAATATATTGACAAGAAATTTGTGTAATTATGCAAAATAGAAATGAAAACAAACAAAAAATGATTAATAAATAACAGTTGAAATGAACGTGTTTTACTATTGTTAGATGCAATTGTTAGTATAAATAATAGCGAGGTACAGGCAGTTAGTTACATTCCTTCTTCTTCTTACAATAATCTGCATACCGCCTCTGGTGTATTGTACCAGATGGACAACTTTGGAGTGCTCAATCCCCATTTACACCAAATGTTTGGGATATTGAGGCATTGATTGTTCCACTGGCATTTGCGAAAACAAGGTATGTCTCGTAAAAAGTATCAATTTATCATGAGTAATCATCATGAAATATCTGTGTCATTTCGGTCGGATTGCAAAACCTACCTGTGAACCTAGGTTATGTTATATTAAGAACAATAAAAAACAGATGGATATTTTAAATACTTATCCATTACATTGTCGGCCTTTCGGAGCATTAGGTTATATTATTTACTAAACTACAATCTCATTATAACAACATGTGAGTGTATTAGTATGCATAAATATGGAAGATAAAAGTGTGTTCATCATTCGTGTTGACACAAAGCAATGTATGTGGCAAGTAAGTATATCCTTGTTGTAATTTCACTTCCAAAAGTTAGTATATATAAGTATTGTTATCTTTTCAATTGATATACTGTATACATGGCACTTTTGCGGGGTAATAATTTTCGTGGTTTTCTAGGCATAAAGAAGCATTTTATCAAATACAACAGCAGTTGCTTTAGACTAGGAAAACGATATATACTTCCTAGCAATCTCAAAAATGTATATTTTTCGATTCGTGATATTTTTTTCTACAGAACCGCACAGAAATCGCACCGCCAAATCAAAGTTGTATACAGTATCAACGTTAATGTAAGAATGTTAGTATATGTTCATAAATATTAGTACACTATAAAACATGTAATATAATACGACCAATACTAGTGTTAATAGTGTGAGTTCTGCCTGCCCATTTCCCTGTGTTAACGAGGTATAGAACATATGCATCTCAAAACGCCAAATTACAGATCCTACACCACATAAAAAAAACTCTCACCATATTGTTTTTTACAGATAATGAAGATAACAAAATTGAAAGAAACTATAACGGTTACACATAAGATTGGAATATGATGGATTCATAAGCAACTCGTATAGGTTTTAAACCAGTGAAATTCGTCTACTTGCCAAATAATCACATTGTTAAGAAATCACTCGACCATGAATTATTTTTGAAGTTATAAAACAAAGGTGAGTTACAACTTAAACATGGCGTTTGAATTAAAATGATTGAATTGTTGAAAATCAAGTTCAGATGTACTGTAAATTAAGACAATCAAGCGGTCAATCGCTTAAAAATAACGTTACTTTCGATGATTCGGCTTAAAATGAAATTGAGCGATTTTTTTGGTTATTTTTTTCCTGACGGAAGTACAAATGTTATAACAACGAATCACGGAGTATGAAACTTTCAACTAATCGTTATATCCGAAGTATCACCTCTCAGAAAAGCAGTTTGGAATACTTTAAGTAATCTGTTGAATTCTCAAAATCAGAAATCGCAAAAACGAAGTTCTAGGGTGTAGAGTTAAAATGTGGCGCAGAAAAAACAACATGACATGGTGAAGGCTATATTATGTAGACTATTCTAGTAAAAAAACAGACACATGGATAGTGTTCATACGTACGAGATGGTGCCAACTTCATTTTCATATGTTCTGTAAAATCAAATTTGTAATTTTAGTGATCAGATCTATATCTGAGACTCAGTTTCAGATTTTTGACTCTGAGATTATGTCCCTTGACAGCATTCTTCTGTAATGAAAGCAAGTTTGTAAATTAAATGGCACTTTAAAAGAAAACCAGGGGAGGTAACTGGCAAATAGTGACACAAAATAGCTACGTACTGTGTTATGTATGTCACAGACTGTGTTGTAACTATTGGGTCCCGTATGATGATAAAATAACATGTTAAAAAATGTTGAAAAATAGTGTGATATCTTCTTTTTGTTATATTTCTGTCATATTACAAACTTAATCGTACACAAAAACAGGTCTGCGGGGATTAGCGTGTAGTTTTATCAACTCTTCATGAAACCCAATTTACAAATCAACAAGCACACAATATCCCATTTGTCTAACCTAAACGAAGTGCGCAAGACCGGGAACTCACTGGCATCAAGCCGAGCGTTAACCGGTATGCATCTGGCGCTGACAACTTGTCCGCCATTAGGCCAAGTCAGTGAGTCTATACAATTCAATTGCCCGCCTCGTGTATGGTTGCTATGCTGTCCAGTAAGAGTGTTTTCAGGACAACGGTTTAATATTTTGTCCTTTTTTTCGAGACCGTGTCTGAAAATGACAAGTGCCGCTGTGGCCACGTGCATTATGTTTGACAAGTGTCGTTTGCAGCTACACACACACGCAGGCTGATAAATGACATTCCGCGATACAATTCCACCAATGTAATCGATCGATACAATAAGGCAATGGACTATACTTGGTACACGCATTTTAGCAGAAATTGTCGCCAATTTATTTCTAGATGTTTAACAAGTCGAATGTGACACAACAGAAGGCGAATAACAAGCGTATGTCGTTTTGTTTATGATTCGAACCAAGTTATGAAGAATCACGAAACAGTTCACAAACCAATAATATATTAGATCCATAAGACTCTCTCGATAAAGATCGTATTTTAGGAATGAACATGTACACTTAAAAAGACAAATTAAGATAAAAATTATGAAGACACATTTTATACCATAAACCAAACAAAATGTTTCTTCAACACCAAATAGTACCATGAACACATGTGTACATCCAAATGTTTTTTTATCCAGACCTCCAAAATATGCAATGAACACAACTTTATACAGTCGAACCTCGTTATCTCGAACTCGCATAACTCGAAGACCCATAAAATATACTATGGACACTTACCATAGACCTACCATTGCATTCATGACTTCATTTTAAAAACCTCTGATGTCATAATCAATATTTCATCCATGACTATAAATTAATAAAATTATGAATGATTCTTATTTCACAAACCACAATATATACCATCTACGACACCGATGTATTGATCAAGTATCTGATAACAAAGTAACAATTAACACATTCACCTTCGGATTTTCATAATGAACTATTCCAATTTTTGAATTGGAAGAGTTCAAATGTGTCTTCGGGGTTGAACGAGTTAAGCTGTACTGATTTCAAGGAACAGCATATATTTGGTGCAGGGTTATAATCATATGTAAAAAAAACCAAAGAATTTTACAAAGTTAAAGTAAAACTATATGCTTGCTTCAGGAACAATGCTTCTTTGGTACACATTTGTTTTGCCTCCTGCATTAGCACGAAAGAGGTGTCAGACTCGGTCGCTGCATGAATCAGCCCTAGTTAACTACTAAAGGCAGTATTTACGTCGAGTTAGGGACGTGTGAAAATGGATGTAGATTTGAAATAGGATACTTCGGGCGTGATCCTCAGTCCTCACGTCTATGAAAGCGATCTAAAGAAATTCCAACTTCTGAAATGAAACTGGTAGCCCTCACTATTTAATTTAGACTGTCTTGCCGTAAACGATGGACAAGCTTAGTGAACGGCCAACGTAGTCTTCACAGAAACGTGTTTACCAAAGTGAAATGCAAAAGTGTCGATAATTGAGCATTATATATATGTAATTTATATTTGACCATCCATCCCCCTGTTGAAGGTTGTATTTTTTCTACGTTAGTTGTTCTATTATTCTGAACTGAAAGTTTTGTTGTCTTTCTATTTAAATTCAATTACAAGGGATAACAAAACGATCATTCAGGTAGGTAGAAAGGACGGGCTAGTGTGACAGTAGTGTTGGGGTGTAAGGGTAACGGTATCTTCAAAAAACTTATGCGCTTTTTATGCATACACCACCTTGCGGATGTATGCATAGTGCACACAAGGATTTTGTTTATACCGTATAACCCCCAAAAATAATTGTTTTCCCCGACACAATTTCTCAAAACACCAAACAAGCAAACAAACTATACAGACAAAATTTAACAGCATATACCGGACTTCACCGCTTGCCCCGTCTTTGCACCTACTCATAGACACGAACCCCCTCCACTATCCTCCCCCTCCCGGCGTATCTAACAAGTGATAAGACCCCGCTGGGACAGACCTGCCTCTGTATGATATAAATCACTTGGTATTCAAGTAAGACGGTGTTGTTCAGCGTCGCGGGGACGTAATCTGTTGCGATAGCCACCGTGTATTATGGCTGGCTAATTCTACTCCGGATTTTGTGGCTACTTGTAATGTTTACAAAGCGACAATACCGGGGATTTAATCACGCCAGCTTCATAGATTACGTGTTCGAGAGTCTGTTCTTTTATTGTGAACATTGTTTTTGGAGATATTACGGTAACGCCGAGGAAAAGTACAGTATCTTTAAAAGAGTGTTAGTTTCGTATTTATCATAGGATGTTCAGACTAATTGATATGATGATATCATCGTGTTTTATATCACAGATACATGACAATGGCGGGAAAAAAAACATATAAATATCAGATTTATCTTAATATTTATTTCATCAAACATATCAGCCTAAATTTTTATCGTAGCCTGTATCTTATAACCTAGCAGCTGCCTTTTTGTAAATTGTTTCACACTAACGTATATCTTTTCTCTTTAGCTTTTCATCTCCGTGAATATTTCAGCTTAACGAGCCAAAAAAAAATCAGTTACATTATAATAATTATTAAAACCGAAAGCTAAACATGTTTGTTCCAAGAATTAAATATGACCACAATGAAATCATATGCATAAATACATCGATATTTTTCACACAGTTTTCAAAATATTTTATTTTAAAAACTTTGCTTAACGAATAAATAGGCCCATTAATCTTCCATAAAGCTAGATCCTGGACGATTTATGTAGAACACCCTGTACTGACGAGTGGAATCGATTATGAAACAATAATACATTATCGATTTCAGTAATCGATTCCACTCAGGCAATGTACATAAATCACTTAAATTGATCGATGTTAATTACTCTGATGATTCCAGCAGCTTCCATGAACTTAAAACCATCAATACATCTGACGCGGTTCTTTCGATCCATGTTGGATGTTTAACAAGGCCGTATCCAGTTGATTTTGTTTGATGTTTAGCAGGGATTGAGTGTCATTGTGTCATTGTCTGATCTGAATACCCAGGCGGTTAATGGTTTACTCGTGTCGGGGCCTGGTGCGACGTTTCACACGCGATATGAACATTAAAAATAAAACCTTCATGATATCCTAGACTAGACTGAATATGGCTACCTGTCCTGAAGTTTTTATGAAGAATTAACTTACCGCATTTTTACTACTAGCTTATCTCCACCTAGTTTGAGAATATCTAGAATCAGACCTCGAAGTGAACAAAATAATAAGATTTTTTTTTTACTAAATTATTCAATATTCTCGAGACGAGGGGCCAGTCTTCCTACATACGTTATAAGTATTTACGAAATCCATGACCTCTAAAAGAACCCGGATGTCAGTGATGTTTTCTAAACTGAAAACGTCATCAGAAAAAGGCACGCGTCACCAAACTGGAAACAATGCAATGTTCCAAGATGAAAATATCAGATAGAACAACGCTGCTGTACAGCGTCAAGAAACAGCGCAGCAAATAACAAACATACACGAAGGGGATGTCTTAGTTCTCTCAGCAGTTAGGAAATAACATATATGAAAGTGTCGAGCAAATGTGACTTTGAAGCTTAACGCCACTACATCGGGTAAGAAAAGCACTGGCGGTTTTGGATTATAACAAATCCCCAATAAACATGAATCAGATTGGCGCTTACCCTAAAACTATATGTATCCTCTGTGTGAACGAGATTTCCACGCTTATAGTCGTATTATCGACCATAAGCAAACCATTGTCCATGCAACACCACCGAGCGAGCCGGGTCAAGCTCTCTCAATTATTGGCAAAACTCAATCAGAAAGCATCGATCATCATTCTGTCAAGTACAACAACTATATCCCGGTCGATAGTCATTATACCGAAAACCCACGTGATCGAAAATCCATATCAGACTCAAATCAAACAGACACTGCCGTAAATGAATGTATTCGACGTCTCAACAGCTGAATGCAAAAGCATTAACACAATCATACAGCATTTTAGATCATGTAAGTTGCATCGCCAATACGTCCTAACTATATGCCGCGCTGTGCGTGTGATAATGACGTATTTGTTATGCTATTTGCTACTGAATGTATTTCAAAATATTTATCCTCTCACAGAAAATCAAATGTACGTGATTTTCAATTAAGATTCGACGTAAATAAAAAAAAAACGTATGTGCTAGATAACCACCACAAATACGGTCAGTTTGAAGAAAAACATGAACCTGACGATGTTCAATTTTCGTAATTGATAAATTAATCAGTTTCGTAATTGATAAATAAGTCATTTCTCTTTTATTGTGTGAAAATGGTGGCACGTGTTTCCTTGGAACAGAAAGTTACTGTTCAATATTCTTACTTAAGGCGTAATGATATTTGCTTTGACGCGCTTCCCGTTTCCACTGTGAATTTTATGCGATTCGCTTTTGATGTATTAAGTTACTTGTACTTTTCCTTCAAAATGTCTTAATATTTGTAATTGTTCGTGTTTACAAAGAAGAGTGGTGTTTAAGAATGATTGTATTTGAATACGCTGTCAA